ATGTTTGGTTAAATAAAGTAACAGATACAATGATTGAGCGATTGAGGGCTTATACAGCAATTGACTAACACATTTACGCATCTCAATACGTCAAAATCGACATATCGATTATAATTGTTTTCAAACTAAATCTCGGTAGTGTATTTACTCTTGTTAAGCTATAACCAATGCGCAAACTCACTGTCACTTCAAGCTCACAAGAAAATCGATTTTTATTGCTGTATAAGCTATAAAACCCTGCAGTTAGTACACATTATGTAAAAGAAGTTTTCTTCGTATCCGTAAATATCCACAATAACAATAAAGTTGATCAACAAAAATAAATGATTTAATAATGAATAAAATATCAAATATTTTTGATAACTTTAACTTGATATAAATTATTTGAATACTTTGTTCTAAAAACGCAGACATATATTCTACAAATATTTTTATTCCAGGTGAGATTTGTTCTTTTATCATTTTTATATGTTTAATTGTTAAAATTAAATTGTGATAATATCAAGTTTGAATCGATCATATAATAATATTAAAGAAATTGGACTAATAAGTAAATAACACAAATAATAGAAATTCTTACTCGGTTAAAACATGATGCTTAATAATATTTATATGTCAATGTTTTAAATACATTTTTTAGTTATATAAAGTGCGCATCGATTTCAAACTCAAATAAACTAAAGTTAAAAATAATATCAGAAATTACATTGATCATCAATCTAGAAACGATACTAGTATCTTAAAATATTGCAAAGAATTTATTGTAAAAAATATGACCTCATCAAAATTGCGTTTCAAATCTGATAAATCGAATCAATGTGCAGTTTATAGAACCGAAAAAATATATTTAAAAAATTTACATATGAATATTATTAAGTACCAAGATTCACTTCGACCGAATATAGAATTCTTATTCTTAAATTGCGATATTTTTTTAAAGAAGAAAATATACAATATTATTTGTATTAGTAATCACTATGAAAGGTTTAATATGAATTTTCATAATTTAAATAATAATTAATATTTCTTTAATATTTCAAGAGAGAGAATTTCATCTCAATCCTATGAGTATATAATACCGTCGCTACGTAGCTTGTAAGTTTCCGGGGTTGTGACGCATATATAGTGTGGCTGTGTAGTGGTTGGCTTGATTCCCGCGCGGGGCGGATAGGTGAGGGAACTTTCCTCATTACAAGAATACTTTTAAAATGGTTTGGCTGATAAACGAATGAACTTTCGGTGTTCCTTATCGGCAATCCCGATGCTTGCTATCAAGGAAGAGTTGAAAGCGATCGCGAGCGTGCAGTTGCGACGGAATGGGCTGCTTTTAATTTCCTTCCTGCTGTTGCTGTAGAGTCTCATTGCGAATAAAAATATTCTTATTACTGCAAAAATGATTTCTCTTCTTTTTTAACAAGCGATAAAAATTTTTATGACGATTCTTATAATCGTTATTTCATTTTATTTCGTTATTTAGTACGCTCTTCAATTAATTGTAATTGCAATATCGCGGGTTTAAACGCAGCTTCTGTCCTCTCGCCTTCTATGTCATTCATTCTCGCAAGATATATCTGGTATGTAACAGCACAAGTCACCGATCGCGGGTGGCAATTCCCGGCCGACAGATAAAGAATGTGTCGGCATGGCATGCTGTAACCCGGAGTATTTCCCAATTAAGCTCCTGCGCGTCCCACAGCGGTGTCAGCTCGATTTGTGTGCCACGTGTGTGCATCTCCCGCACAAGTAGATGCCATTTACTTGCCACTGTACAAAGTCTTTTCTACCTAGATCTAGCAATCCCCACACAGTCGCGACTTAATAGCTTCCCGCGGGAATGCCAGAGCTATCGGTTATCTAACTCGTGTCTAACAAGACTGATGATGATGATCGAGTCAGGCAAGATGACGTAAGAGGAAATTAAGTACGGAGGAGGCCCGACGCAAGTCGGACGTGCTACTCCAATTTGCATTTCGTTCTAAGTTTTAATTGGTTTTAATCCTTTGACGGACTACACCCACTAGCTTCAAACAAACTTTTAACCCTTTCCGCTGGAAAGCCAAATAGGCCCACGCCGCTCGCACATACTTCAACAGTTTCTCTTGTAAAGCCGATATACCATAATATCGTACGTTTGAGCTAAAAATAATTAGAAACGGTGTAGTTCATTGGATAATTTAGACGTCAGGAATATAGAATGAGTAGGGTTACTATATCTGAATCACAAGAAAGAATATGTATGTACACTTTTTAAAAAAAGATGATCAGTAGGATGAAACAGTTGGAAGAGATATGATTTTTGTATGTATTAAATGTAAATATTTAAAAAAACAAAATTTCTAAAATATAATTTTTATTAATAATTCTTATTAATATAATTTTATAAATCTAGTAGTGTAGCCTGATTTCATCCATTGTTGGATATCGGTCTCTTCCAACTTTTTCCACATCATCTTTGGAAAGAAAGAATTTGGCATTAAAATGCTACACTTGCCATGCGAGTAGATATACATCTCCATTGATATATAATTTTATAAATATAAAATTTTAATTAAAGACCAAAAGTTTTACGACATCTCAAACAGAGTACTTGTTGAGTACTCAAACAGAGTATTCTTAAAAGAGTATGCGGCTAGTTAGGGTTACGAAATAACTTAAAAACGAGCTATTTTCCATAATATATATTATAATGTATATTATAATATATATTATAATGGATTAAGCTTGAAAGCTTGATCGCGAATCTGTTACTTCGATCTCTTAATTCTTAAGAAACCTCTTAATTGAATACAAGTATTTTGAGCAATAAAATCCACGTATTCGACAACAGCAAAACTCATTGTTCAGCCTAACAATCCGTACATGTGTGTATAACCTTATCTGGAGTTAGTTGAAACCGAAAGACGGACGTCGGAAGGCTTTAGGATCTTTGTCTTTCCGGCTGCTCGAAGACACCGCGAAGTTCTCGTAACTTCGCGCCGATTGAGGCAAACTCTACTACTCGATAACTTCCACAATCAAAGACTGGCACACGTACACATACTCTCTCGTTCTTCTCTCTTACACGCACAACTCCTGTCACATTGGATTCGCTGTTACACGTCGGTGAGCCGTAGATAGGTCCTTTTCGTGGGACCTAGGATTACAGCAAGCACTCTGGATTACTAGGTTTGGCGGTACCAGAAATGTCATATCCTTGGAAATTGGTTTCTCCGAGACGTATTACGTGGAATCAGCCTAATTATGTTTCTGAGAGTATTAAGATGTTTACAGTGGATTTCATCTCGATGAGGGATGTAAATAAAAAATAATTGGCATGGCAACGTGATGTCTCTGATCGAAATTCAGAGGAAGGCTTTGTAACGAGGAATCTCCTAATAATTAAATTTTACTGCTGTTGATTAACAGGCAACCGCGTTATTACATTTAGGAAACGTAATTACTTATTTACCCCCTAACAAACAGGGAAGTTCTCGAAGCTGTATACTCAGTACAGCTCTATACAATCATTCACAACTAAAATATTTAATGTTCTATTTGATATTTCATATAAAATATATAAATATATAAATAGTCTCAAAATTTAACGGCCAAATTGCGATAGTATATCTATAAGTAGAAATAACAAAAAATGTTATATGAAGTTTAGTTAGAAATGTTTCATTATAAAGTTATAAACAAACATTCAAATAAAATATGAAATACGAAACAATGGATTTTCAATTGCACAAACGATATGAAAGTCTACATATCGTACATGGAAAGTTCGAATGTTTATTTCATGTGTACAGGGTGTACACAGGGTGTCCCACTCTGTATATACTTTTTAAAAATAATGAATTGATACAACTAGTATTTATATATACATACAAATCTTGCAATCATTGTGATATAAAGCCAATATGTTTAGTTTATTGGCTATATAATATAATGCTTTAAAGTAACATGCTATATTTGAATTAGACGATGAAACATATGTGCATAAAGAATAATAGCAAATTTGTATGTCTATAAATACTAACGAGAGAAAAATTCTTCATCGTTATTGTAAAAAATATTTAAAAGTTTCCTTCAAGATAATATATTGTTTTCTTTTATAAAAATTTTCAAAAAGAAGTTTTCCAATATTTAAGAAAAAATGCATTAAGATTAAGAAGATTTTAATAACATTTTCGTAATAATAATTTTTCAAATCAGTTCTCTTTTATTTTTTAATAATTTAATACATCAGATTTACCTACACGATTAAATAATCGTTTCTCTTCGATCGTGTTTAAAAATGGAAAGATTGATGATATGCCTACACAATTAAATATTATGCAATGTAACCATTATCTAATATATTGAACGTTTTGTGGTCTGTTCCCTGGAGAACGAAAATTATCTTGAAATTAGTGTACTCCAATAGCTATGATAATTGATATTCGATGCATGTCGAGGCTCCTCTGTCACATTACCTCATAGGACATACATTACTTCTCATACATATATTGTTACTATAAATAATCTACTGCTTTCGAACACTATACCACAAACAACTTTCATTATCCAACTCATGCATAATCCTAATTACTTGTTTAAAGATAAATGATACTTCTGTAACGTTCACAAGATTACATCTGTACTAATTTAAAAGCAAGTTTATTTCTTCTCTCATTTGCAAATGGTTTAATTCTATATTAAGAAAATTAACAATTTTAATTTTATTAGGAGATATTAAAAAAAATCATTCAGCATTTACATGATAGATTAATACATACTATACTGAATAAAAAAACCTTAGTGAACATAGCAGAGATCGATATTCTACAATTGCTTTTAAACAGAATTCTAGCTGCAATTTTTTTCAATTTCGATTTTTTTTTAGTATAAAACATGCATTTAATGTTTTTACCTGATTAAATGAATAATTTTCAAAATAAAATTTGTTATATGTAAAAATTATGTGCAATAAATAAAAATGGTTACACATATTAATTATTTTTTGTCATTTTTTATTACAGATCACATGGGTGAGACGGAGGGACAGACAATTGTTAACTGTCGGTACTAGCACACACTCCATTGACAAGAGATTTGTCGTCAGACACTCGAGCACCGACTGGCAACTCACAATACGCACCGTAACGGTGGACGATGCCGGCATCTATGAATGTCAGGTAATTTAGCGAATGTTTTATTCATATATTTTTTTTTAATTTTAAGAATATTTAACTGTGATCCAGTTTTTATTTAATACATTTTTACTCATATTTCTGTC